ACAAATCTAAGTGCTACTGCTATTTCTAACTCTGCCCACTGCCAGGAGTTTGATCCTAACCAGCTCAAGGTTGACTCAGCCTTCCATCCTTCCGAGGTGGGTAAAATGAGGACCCAGAGTGTTGTTGGGGACAATATGCTGACTCTGTAAACCGCTTAGAGAGGCCTGAAAGGCCTATGAAGCGGTATATAAGTCTACTGCTATTGCTATTGCTATTGCTATCTGTGATCTGTTTTGGGGTCTTTAGAAACCGATAATAGAGATGCAGGGTACAAAATGCAAAATAAATTGTATTAGGTAAAACACTGCTTTCCTTGGAGCCAGGAGATTTGGTGGCATCCCTCCCTGGATCATCAGAGTGAGGGGGAAATTAGCCCCATGCGTGGATCGGGACATCCCCAAAGCCGTCACTTTCAATCAAGCATTGGGAGCTGCCTGTCTTTCTTTTTCTCTCCTCCAGAGTTCTGCAAGATTAATTGGCCCTGGGTGCAATTACCTTAATTTCCAGCATTAGGGAAAAAAATCTATAAATGTCAGGAGGTGACATGCAACGGCTTAATGTGAGTTGTCATAAATTAAAAAAAAGCCTAGCTGGGGCCCTTTGGCCTCGCTTTCGAACCTGCACACTACTTAAAATGTCCAGAAAGCAGCGCCATGGAACTAGACAAGTTACCACAAGCAGCCGAAAACATGGACCCTTGTTGAAGGAAAGGAGGATCTCATCATCTCAGAGATGCGCCTGTTTTTTAAATGTCAACTTCTTACTTTGCTGGATTTTTGCCTCTGTTGAGTTGCAAATCCCCTTCAATTCTAAACTCAGCTGGACTCACTTGCTAGCTTGAAAACACCCATAAACTTTCTATGCTTCTACATTGAAAGGAACCACAAACAACGACAAAGGTTGAAATGGTAGCTGAACCAGTTTCCCTCCTTGCTGATCAGGAGGTCAGGTCCAAGGATCCTAACCCCAGTTGGTTGGCTGTGAGTTGATCTAATGATCAAAACAGGAGGAATCCCTCTTGAAAAGCAGAAAGATACTCGGGAATCCAGATTGTTCTTGATTTATGATTGCAGTTGGGACCAAAACTTCCATTGCTAAGCAAGGCTAATGTTAAATTAAGGCCACACTTGGAATCCTGCATTCAGTTTTGGTTGCCATGATGTAGAAAAGATGTGGAGACTCTGGAAAGAGTGCAGAAGAAGAGC